CCCCTCCTCCTCCTCATCTCCCTCCTCCTCATCTCCCTCCTCCTCCTCCCCAGGCCAGATTGCTTTCCCTCTCGACAGTAAGTGTGTACAAGATGTCAGCCTTTGGGATTTGTGACACTGGCCCCAGTTGTCTAGCCTCATCTCTTGTCACTTAGAGTACGTTTACCTGGCCCCAGTCCCATGTTCTCTATGTCCCGCAAGCCGACTGGACCCGGCCTCCCTGGGGAAGCCTCTCTCAACCTGCCCCACCACCCTGCCCCGCTGGGAGCTCCAGAGCAGCCTAACTTCATGCCACCATTTCTTTTTTCTTTTTCTTTTTTTTAAAGTCGTGATAACATACATATAACATAAAATTGACCATTTGAACTATTTTTAGTGCACAGTTCAGTGGCACTGAAAACATTCACATTGTTGTGCGACCATCACCAAACTTCTTCATCTTCCCAGACTGAAACTCTGTCCCTATTAAGGATTCACTCCCCATTCCCCGCTCCTCCAGGCCCCAGAAACCACCGCTGTACTTTGTCTCTATGAATTTGAGTATTCCAGGTACCCATATAAGTGGAGTCACACAGTGTCTGCCCTTTGCAGAAACTCACGTGCACCCCGAGGGAGCCCCGCTTCTCCTGGGACAGACTTTGCCCAAATCTGCACCTGACGACAGGTCTTCCTCTCAATGATCCCGCAGACCCACTCTTTCTGACTTTCCAGGCCTCCCGCCTGCCCACTGAACACCCCTGGAACTTCAGGTGGGGCTCTTGGGAGGCGGCTCGAAAGAGCACTGTCCCTCCGGCTGGTCTGTGGCCTCCTTTTGAATTGAGATCTAATTCACATATCATAAAATTCACCCTTTGAAAGCTTAGGATATTCACAGACTGTGCAACCATCACCACTGTCCAATTCCAGAACATTTTCATCCCCTCAAACCCGTACCCATCAGCAGTCACTCCTCATTCTCCCCCTTCCCCCAGCCCCTGGCAGCTGCTGATGTACTGTCTCTGGATTTGCCTATTCTGGACATTTCACATAAATGGAATTACACAGTATGTGGTCTTTTGTGACTGGCGCATTTCATGTAGCGTAATGTCCTCAGGGTTCGTCCATGTTATGGCAGGTATCAATACTCCATTGCTTTTTAATACTGAGAAGTATTCCATTATATGGATAGGCTACATTTTGTGTATCCATTCATCTGCTGATGGACACTTGGGTTGGCCACCATATGCTTTTGGGTGTAGTTGTTCCAGACTGGAGCGCCCTGGGCACAAGACCACATGCAATTCTGCCCCCAAAGCCCAGTGCCCAAACAGGCCCTGGCACAGACTTGGTAGAGGCTCTGTGGGGATTTGTTAAACTGAACTGAATGTTGGGTCAGATGGGGGACAGGGTTTTTCCATCCTGTGGCTAGATGACCCTTGGCTGCCCTCAGCTGCTCTCCGCAAGGTCAGCAGGAGGCTCTCATCACAAGGAGGGGAGGGGATACCAGCTGCCCCCTCTTTTCCCATGCTTCCTGCCTGGTGGGGCCATGGAGAAGCAGCCTGGCAGCGAGCTGGGGGCCCAGTAGGCCCTGCTGTCCTCAGTGCAGTGTTGGAGACCAGGCATCTGAGGGTGCTAGTGGCAGAAGCGTGTGTCTGGGGATGAAATCTGTCCGAGGAAGGCAGATTCCACCCTGTGGCCCTGCCTGGTGGTCCAGGAGGACTTGGAGTCTTCTGTGGCACAACAGGGCAGAACGGCTGTGTGGCTATGAGTATGTTACCCAGCCCCTCTGAGCTGCTTCTCCATCCTGACAATGGGGAAGCATGACGCTGATATGGATGCGTTGTGCCGGGCATGACCAGCAGGAAGTAGCCTCGTGGTTATTCTCTAGCTCCGGCGGTGTGTTTAGGCCAGTGGTGGTCACCCCCTTTGGGGCTTTGAGGGGCAGGAGTGATGAGGTAATAGTGGGCACAGACCCTACCTGATGTTTTCCTAGGGGTCTGGTGAGTGGGGAGCACTAGGGCAGGGCCTGAGAACCCACAGAGGGCATTTCTGTTGGGTTATTGCCTCTGCCTCCCCCCACTCCCCCTCAGTTTCAGGGCTTTTTTTTTTTTTTTTTTTTTTTTTTTTTTTTTTTTTTTTTTTTTTTTTTTTTTAATTTTTTTTTCAACATTTATTTATTTTTGGGACAGAGAGAGACAGAGCATGAACGGGGGAGGGGCAGAGAGAGAGGGAGACACAGAATCGGAAACAGGAAACAGGCTCTGAGCCATCAGCCCAGAGCCTGACGCGGGGCTCGAACTCACGGACCGTGAGATGACCTGGCTGAAGTCGGACGCTTAACCGACTGCGCCACCCAGGCGCCCCTTTCAGGGCATTTTTAACATCATGTTCCAGGTCAGAGCTATGCCTGGGGCAAACTTTCCAATCAGAGGGAGATGGGGAACTTGTTTCCAAACCTGGCTTCCTTTGCCAATTACTTCCGCCCTTTTTAGAATTTAAGGGAGAGAGTCTAGAGGAAGGGTGGGATTGATTCTGGAGTTACCCGTGGCCCAGAATCCAGGTTTGTCTAATGGGTTTGGGGGCCAGCCCTCACTTCCAGGGCTGCCGCTGTTGGCCTGTTATGGGGGCCACACTGTGGCCTTGCAGGGGGCTGGGGCTGGGTCCAGGGGCACTGGGTGTGGACTGCCCAGCAGACTCCTGGGTGGCCAGAGGGCCTCCAGGTCAGCAGTCTGGCCAATGGGGTCAACACTGGAAAGCCTGGGCCGCCCCAGAGCGGCCGTCCCTCACATGCTTGCTCGTCACCGACCTCCTTATCCTTTTTTCATTTCCAGTCCATTTTCGCTATGTGGTGTTCCATCCATTCCTGGATGAGATTCTGATCGGCAAGATCAAAGGCTGCAGCCCGGAGGGAGTTCACGGTAATGGTGGCCCCGACTCGTCACACGAGGCCTGGGAGCGCACTGGGGCAAGTGGCCAGGCCAGCAGGCCTCCCTTCAGCTTCTGTCTGAGCCACACAGTCAGGGGAGGGGTCAGGAAAGCTCATGGGTGAGGGGAACACACAGCCCCGTCGTGCTCATGTAACCATGAAGACCTTGGCCAGCTGTGGGCCTTCCCTGTGAGGCCCTAACTCAGCACCTCGGGTTGAGCACTGGAGCTGGTGGAGGGGACTTGGGGTCCCAGGCGCCTCCTGGTCCCCGTTGTGTGTGGTGTCCGCCATGGGTTTTGGTGGCTGCTCAGGCCATGTAAGTGGCATCAGCAGAGGTGTGGGGCTTTGAGGTGGGGGAGGCACTCAGATTTCCATGCCAACAACTGCCTCTGTCCCATGCTGTCACTTTCTTCATTTCTTCCAGTCTCTCTAGGGTTCTTTGATGACATTCTCATCCCCCCAGAGTCGCTGCAGCAGCCAGCCAAGTTGTATCCTCCCAAGGTTAAAGCGGGTCACAGGGGGCTCAGGTGTTTCCAGAGGACAGTCCCGCTCCTTGGGGTGGCCCTGGCTCCTGTGATCTGATACTGCTGACCTCCCTGCC